TTGTTCCTCGTTCTTTGCTCCTAAACCCCACAGAAAGGCTTGCTACGCATGCTACTTATTGGGTAGCCCCTGGGGCTGAGTGGGGAGGTACTCCCGATAATGGCAAGCTTAAATCATGCACATGAATATAATCAGTCTGATTCTGGTTTGGAATTTTTGTTGGGTAAGCAACACACGTTGGTTAGAAAAAGTACTTAAAAGGAAGGACTGAGAGCCGTATTTAACGACAAACATACCGAAGCTTTACCACGGAAAATATTCCCACAATAAAAACAAACATACAACAACAATAACAAAATAACGGGCGGTTACAAGATATACGTATCTTGATGTATAAAGTGAAAAACTGACTTTGCCCAATTGGTTTGCGATTTCTCTACAACCCAGCAACCACCTCCTTATAACCTGCGACGGTCAGACTTTGTTCTACCTCGCTTCGTTACGGTAACTGCCGTCTTTGTGCTTTTTAATCATTTTACATCTATATCTACATCTTTTTTCATTGCAATAATTTTAAATTATATGCAGCTTTCTTGTAAACAGTTTTCAACTTACATTTTATTTCTTACTTCATCAATTTTATTTTGTGTTCCCTACTGATTACATTAATGCGTAGAAGGATTTTTTTGACCGTCTAGACTGTATTTCTTACACACACAAATTAATTCAAGTTGTCATTCATGTGGCTATTTTTCCTGAACGAGTTATTGCTGAAGAGATTTCATTTAAAAATTACACCATAAATAGCTTCATGCAAAGGACGTAGTACTGATGAAGAGGTTTGATTTGGATAGTCACATATGTAGGTTTTCGTCAAAAGATTCAAAATTTGAAACCGCGCGAAACATAACTATAGTGAACGTACTACTACAAAGGTTCGATTTTAATAGCCACATCATCTAATTTTGTCCAGAGACCAATAGTTAGAACTACATGCGAAATAGCTAGTTTCATGTGAACACGCCACTGAAGAGGTTTTAATTCAAATGGTCAAACTATTGGATTTCATTGACTAGTTACTGAACTAAGATTTCGAACTAAATCAGTAAAACATAATCAAATGCAGTCATGTAAACTTGCTACAGATAAGGTTTCATTTGAATAGCCGATCACATCACAGCATTTCACAAGTAGGGACTATTTTTAAAATGTCTCTATTATTGAATCTGGAAGTAAAAGATTAACTTTAGCGCAAGTCTCAGACGATTGTAGTTTTCTTCTTTGAATTTCCGGCCTTTTCTGTAGAGTGAGCAATAGGCGTCAGTTCCAAGGCCACAGCCTGCTCATTACCATGGAATTCTTCTAGTTCTATGTCGCCCTCACTACCCGACGAGCCACCGTAAATCTCTGGTTTCAGCATCTGTTTTCTCTCCTCTGATTCCGGATCGAACTGATCTTCTATGTCATCTGGTAATGGAGGCAAGGGATTGTTTGCAATATTTTCACTTGATCGCCTATAAGAAGAAAACAATGCTGTCAACCATAGTAGATTCCTATAAAATTAACCATACATTTTAGATCATGCGCACTATTATAGAGGGCAACGCCAATCACATTAAAACATTTTACGACGATCGCGAGCCGATAATTCTGTGAGACAAGATCGCAATGCTCTATTTTATTATTATTATTTCAAATCTTGATGCCAACCGCAATGGACTCGAAACATGAAACACTCAGCAAACGGAGTTAGATTTTCTCACCCTGAGATTTATACGGTATTACGCCTTAAATGTCAAAAATAAAAGGCGCTCACGTTTATTAAGCGTCCTCCCCTAAAACTTCGTCTGCCAAAATGAAAAATAAGAGTCTCCTTGAATAACAATCACCTCCAGCACACTGTCTTAAATATTATGTTAAGTGATGTTATAAGGGAACCTCCTCTCTTTCTTTCTCTCATTCTCTGAACGCTTGTTTAACTTTGATTAAACGCCGGCATTGACATAAGGGAACAGTTTCTTATTAACCACTCGTTCGGCTCAATTTTAAATTTCCCGTGCACAGCAAGACCATTATCTGATTCCACGAGTTAAGCAATGTTATTTCTTACAAAACAATTTAACTGAGTCCCTTTGTTTTTTGCCACGACCATGCACATGCCTCATAACGATATACCGTCTCCTCAGTACTCCTTTGAAGAACCTATTTCTTCCCCAAATAAGCGCTCCCTCAGTGGCCAAGCTAGTATATAAGAAGAATTCTCTGCTATGTCACTGCGTTCCGCCGCAGAGAAAACGTTTAAGTTCTAATCAGCAGAAAGGCAACAACACGTTGAAATAGGAAGGACACGACCAGTTGTGTTTATTGGGGACGAGAAAAAACTAACGTGCAAGAAATAAAGTAGTGGCGGAGAAAAACGAATTACATCGCTGTAAACTACGAGACTAAACTTTAACAGCATACTAGAAAAATTAAGCTCGGCAAGGTGTGAGCGGTAAAACTGGCTGTGTCGAGTGACTAACGCGAGAGGCGACAAGGCTTAAATGCCGAGATGTGACGTAAAATCCCTAGAGGATCAAACTGCGGCCATAAATGCAAATTCCGAACATAAACACATCTGGCCTTACCTATCAGTTATTGAATTAACATAACATAACGTATTTATTGTCGAACTAATATTGCGAAGTTCTTTAGCCTGGGACTTGTTGGCTCCTTTATGGGTCGGAATACCGGGTATAGACAACCCAACTCGCTTGTGGCTGAACTTTTCAAGAATAAAAGCCAAATGTTTAATTGAAAGAGTACTAACCTGTTATAAACATCTGCTCTCGTCACAGGAACAGTGGGGTCTGAATCACGTGGCTCAAGGTTGTAATCTTTTCTGCCACGGTTGTTGTCTTCTATTAAGTGTAGGTACTCGGTCGCGACACTCTGTTGTGAAAAATAAGCCCAGTATCGAAGTTTTAGAATAAACATACCAGCCAGGAGCCCATAATCTGGTGCGAGCAACTTCCATACTAGGCCTATGTCACGGCGTTTTTACGGATCAGTTTATTTTTAGTCACATTTTAAGGGGCACTTACAAGTATAAGATTTCAAAACGGAAAACTAAACGTTATTAAAAGGCAGAAAATACCATTTTTAGGTACGTAGGTTTTGCTGTCTAGTTTGTGAAATTTGAAAGATATTTAAAATTCGCGCAAAAGCCGTTCTAAAAATAAACTGGTCCGAGAAAACGTCGTGACACAAGAATGTGTGGGGAATTGAACATAAATTCGCGCCAAAACCGTTCTAAAAAGAAACTGGTCCGTGAAAACGTCGTGACATAAGCGCATGGAAGTTGTTCACTCCGGGTTATGGGCTCCTGACCAGCAAAAGATGGACATCCCTCATAATCTTTCTTTCAATGGGCAGTCGAAATTCTTTAATCTTATAGAATCGTAAATTTTTATAATCCGTATTGCTTTAGCATCTGCATTGCATCAGTCTAAAAAAAAAAGACAGCATGCAGATCGTGTTATATCATTCCATGGCCGATCTACGGGAGGGGCCAAGGGGCCCCGGGCGCCCGGGGCTCCACCTTCTTTATAGGACAAACTGCAGTCTACGGGACTAAATGAGCGGTTAGAGATTTGAATCCGCCACTGTTATTGCAAATATGGTAAATTTTTAAAGAGCAAACGGTATAAGTCATCTCTTCATATTCTTCTTGCAAAGCTGAATTCCCGGTCGCCCCATCAGAACCAAGGATATATACACTCAAGCGAGTATCCTCTCTTGATAAACTTCATTTTTTCCTTCGAAGGACCTAGTGTACAATAAGTTCTAACAAGAGAGAGGATACTCTCCTGTTCTCTTACTTCCTCCTTTGCCTCAAAAACAGTGCAAAAAAGGCCTCACCTGGGAAGCACGTTGCTCAAGTATTGTACCAATCGACTGGCTGATTTGATCAAATTTAGGTCGCTTGTCGGGTAATTCCTGCCAGCAATCTTGCATAATTTTGTAGATCTCCGAAGGGCAGTCGCGGGGATTTTCCATACGGTTTCCATAATTAAGGAAGTCTAGGAGCTCTTCTACGGGTATAGTGGGATACGGTGTGCCGCCCAGTGTAAAGATCTCCCACAAGCAAATACCAAACGACCATCTGCATTTATTTTTTAAATGTCAAAGTTAAAAACATACACACTCGAAGGGTCATCACAGCCAGGGTCATTCCAAACCAAAAGGGCGTCAATAAAGCTCTGTAAGCTGTTTAAGCTAAACTATGGACTCGAGGACACAGAGGTAAGCTGCTATTAACACTACTACAAGGAAATTATTGGAATCAAAACTTACATGGCTTGCATATGAAGCGCTACATTCAAGAATCGTTATTAGTAGCATTCTTTTGCCGTGTTTACAAACCCTGATATAAACACGAGAGGGTGTTAGGTGAATTCAAGAGAATGGGTGCAGTCTGTAAACCACAGAAAAACAGTTTTCTGTTAAGGTGTCTTTGTAGTGCCAACTTTCCCGAGAAAAAGTTGCAGTTTATGGTGATGATTAAAAGAGAAATTCTTACTAGTCGCGAAGTGTCGTATCTAGACGTACTTTCGTACGCGTAATCAGTACGGTTTTGTTTTGCATTTCAATAATAAAGTTCACCTATAACGCGCACTCTGATTTGTTGAAAAAGCGTGCTTTATGATAGAGAGTATAAAACATGCTGACGACACTCGTTCGCTTTGAAATAAAAAAAAGGGGAATGTGTGGGGAATTTAACTGTTCTCTATCATAAAACAAATAAAGAAGCCTTGACTTTGCTCTACTCTAGGTGATACTCTACGTACTCTCTATTTCGAGGTGAATAGTGGCTTATTATATACCGAGCCACTAATAAATAAATTTATAAAGCCACTATTCACCCAGATTGAAAAGAATAATTGTATTAGTATATACATACGAAGTGATCTCAACAAAATCAGAGAGGAAATACATGCTTGTCCAACGGGAATAATATGTCAAGATTTATTTATATAAATCAGGTTTGACTTACATACACCTAATTGCAATAAGGTTGTCATAGAAAAAAGCAAAAAGCAAAAAGCAAAAAGCCAAATAGGAATTAATTAGCATTTAATTATCATTGCTTGCAACATTCACAACACACAGGATTATACCTGAATATTAATCACGTAAAATGAGAGAAATCATTTGCATCAGTTTCTTGGTGTCATTGTAATGCAATTCAAGGCTGATTCATCTAGCGGATTTCAAACGTACTCTAATTACAAACGTAAATCGGATAACTCCTAAAGAAAAAATGGCTTAATTTTTTTTCAATAAATATAGCCTGGGGTAAATTCCAGGAAGGCGACGCGTCTTTTCGTTTAGTGCTAAATAGAAAAGCCAGTCTGCGTATGGTTTGTAGTGCACAACACCATCACAATTTTCAAGCAACAAATCAGGGGCGTAGGCAGGTTTTTTCATCGCGGAGCGGGTAAGGCGTTCCTCCGCCAGTTCCTCTCCCGCGCCACAAACCAAGCTCCGTTTGTCAGGACATAATACATTGGCGACTGAAAGTGCGACAACTGAGACATAACATTGCTCGCGTCAATTCACCTTTTTCTTTATCGAATTGTGCGACTTCTGTTGATGGAGAATGTTGGCTCTAAAATGACCATGGCTCCTGTCTAGCGCGGTTGATGCCAACACGGGCAATTGAATTTTCTCCCTGTGCTGCTGTTTCAATCACTCGACCAGGGTACAAATTTATAAAGCGAGACTCTTTTTACCGCGATGACAGGTTTGCCTCAGTCCGTTTTTTTCCGTTTTTTTTTTTTTTTCGCAAGCGGGGGTCATGAGCCCATTACTGGATAGGTCTCTGTTAACGGTAACAACTTGATTCAAATAACAACAACAACTACAACTTCATTTACATATCAAAACTGTTTTATTGGATTCTACACACTCTACTTTAGATCAGTTATAAGAACTTTCTTCTTGCCAGCAAACTCCTCCTCCGTTAAAACACCCATCTGCTTGAGGTCATGTAGCTCTCTAAGTTCCCTGAGGATGCTTGAGCGAGAGTAGCCGACTGAACTTGTAGTTGTAGCTGAACTTGTAGTCTAAAGATAAATCATCAACAAGTTATTAGTGGACCATTTATCTCATGCGGCCAAGATCTACAGTGCAGGTAGGGAAAATGCGATATTCTGTGGGTTTAATAGTTCACTTACTACTGTTGACGTGCTTGTTGCGGTCTTTTTTGCCACCTTGTTTCGAAATATCGACAGCATTGGTGGTTCATCTTCACTTTTATGCGACCCCAAAACCTGGAATGATAAGAAAAAAAATAAAAATTTACCTTGATTTTAGCTTTTTGCTTTGATTAGCGTTAATTTGAGGATTCATTTCATACCAGCATCTCCGCCCAGAATCGGTACTGGTAAGGCTGGAAAACGGTCTCGCCGTGCTTATCTTCCAACCTTTTCGTTTGCTCGTCTATTTTCTCCGTGAATGAGGGGGACGCAGCATTTGTCTCATCATGAGAACCTATAAGGAATAAGGAATTTTACCGAAAGTCACACTTTTGAAAACACGTGTTCGTTTTAAAAGCTTATACTTACGTTTGTTTGTTTGGTTGCCTTTCTTGTTGACACTTCAAAAGGTTGAGTTTGATCGTCCGGGTGAACGTAGTCCTGAATAGGACTGTTGTTGTTGACAGTGACTGACGTTTCGACAACCTGTGCGGTAGTCATCTGTGCGGTAGTCATCTAGTCATCTTGTTGACACTCCCGGCACGTTCTTCATTCACCACCACATGACTGGGGTCCACCCAAAGAGGTTGCCCACTTATAGCAGCGGCATAGGCGTCAGGTAATCTGTGTCAGTAAGAACCCAGAGTTTTTTCTACTTCTTGTCGATGAAGCCAAAGCTGAAATTCTCTGCAAACGGCTCACCAGGAATAATGTTCTTCACTGCCTCTCTAAATTCGGAGCAAGTCTCCGTTACGGGAAAACCCTTTACTCTGGCTGTTCTGTATGAAGATTTTTTGTTCCCACCAACTATTCTGATATCAGTCGTAAAACGTTGACGAGCGTCGTTTAGAACTTGTCCCTCTATGTTTTAGACCCTATTTACATGGAGTGGGGGACCCCGGTTTAGTGGGGTAAGTTTCTTTTGTTTTGTGTCCCTCAGAGCGTGAAAACAAAAGAAACCAACCCTACTAGACCGGGGTCCCCCACTCCATGTAAACAGGCCCTTAGACTGATTTATAATCTGCACGTGCTGGTGTGTGCAATTTGAATTTCTAATTTACGCTTTACTTTTTTGGCTCACGGGCTGGGATCACGGGATGATTCTATTATTCTAGCTCGTGCAAACGATTACTAAATAAACAGAAATACTGCGAAAAAGAAACCACTGCAAAGAATTGGTCATTTTTTATGAGGTAGAATGCCGGGCGCTTATTCAGAGGACCTCCGCTGGAGAATTATCTGGTACAAATTTCTACTGATGCGTAGTGATGAGGAAATTGCTTTTCAGTTATTTTTATGCCCAAGAATGGTGCAGCGTATCCGCCAAAAATTTGTATTTACAGGAAAAGTTGTAGCAGAAAGAGCTGGTCGACCTGTCGGTACGACAACACTTCACCGTCATGAAGAATACATTATAATGGAGGCGATACTCAAAGAGCCAGCCACACGGTTACATCAGCTCGCGTCAACAATACAGGAACAAACTGGCTCCGAGTTTGATGTTTCCACACTGTGTAGGACACTTCACAGACTTGCATGGATTCACTAACAAGAAGGTCAGTATAAGAATTACTGATACCGCTTATCTTTTTTCTCTCTCTAACACCCACTATTGCTTCTGATTGTCCACAGATAAGAGAAATTGCAGCTCAGAGAAGAGACGACCTCGTGCTCAATTCAAAGCTGATATGCTAAATCAATCGCCTCATGAACTCATTTTTATTGATGAGGCAGGAATTGTAAGTGTTGCTTTTTTATAATTTCTCAGAGTAGATTGTTTGTTAGAAAAAAACTTGTTTTGTATAAAACGTTCTTTCCACTCATTCGTTATTTTTTCTGATCTTATCTTTCTCCAGGACAGAACCTTATCGAGACAACACGGTTATTCACAGAAAGGGCAGCGGGATGAGGTGATAAGGACAAGAACAAATAGCCAACGTATTACAGTAATATCTGCTATTGCTCACGATGGATACCTCAGCATCCGAGTACTCAATCCAGGCCAACGATTCAATCACATTGTTTTTGCTGACTTTCTACGTAATGATATAGTACCCCTTCTCAATCAATACAATGGAAAAAACGCTCGCTCTGTGGTTGTGCTAGGTAATAAATTGTTCATAAGAAATGAATTTTTCTCTTAAACATTTGCTCAAAATCTTTAATTTCGTTTTTGTGTTTTTAGACAACCACGCAGTTCATCATGTTGCGGAAGTGGAAGAAATTATATATGGTGCCGGAGCTTTGGTCAGATACCTTCCACCTTACAGCCCGGATTTTAATCCGATAGAAGGAAGTTATCACCAGGCCAAACACTTCATTCGGGAAAATGACATTGCCTTTCGTTGCTGTCTTCAGCCCCATGCGTTTATCTTGCATACTTTTGGGCAAATTTCACCAGAAAACTGCGAAGGGTATTTCAGAAACTCTGGCTATGAGTGACAATTCGATTGAAGTAATAATTTTGAACCCTTTCGTTACACACATCGGTGTTTCATGTGCGGAATCTTACAGCGCGGAAGCAGAATTATGTCTTGTTATTGTGAATGACTTAAAATTCTTAAATAATTGTTAAATCATTAAAACACGCAAATGTAAATCACATGGCTAATTAATTCCTATTTGGCTTTTTGCTTTTTGCTTTTTTCTATGACAACGTTATTGCAATTAGGTGTACATCAAGATTTACTTATATATAGATCAAGATTGATTTATATAATAACATCACGATTTATGCGTAACTGTTTGCCAAGGCACCAGTCTTTAAGTGATTTGTTATATAGCTGGAAATTTGAAGCTAGAAATTCGTTAAACCTCGCTGTAACAGCGGTCACCGGTCAACATTAGTGGGTAACAGTGCACTATTACCCTCTGACGTCATAGATATTTTGCAACGTTGTCCGCCCAGAGGTTTTAACGGGAAACAGTTTCATTGTTAGATGTCATGTGACCTCGAAGTAACCAATGAGACAGCGCGCTGTTGAGAAGAAATTTCCAGCTATAAAACAATGTTGAATAGTCCGAGATAGCGAATCAATCAGGCTAAGAAACCAAGATCACTGAGTGTGTATATACTGTGTTTATTACTCGCACGCAAACACACTTCTCGGCCGATCTGAGAGCGCCTACTAAAATATGTTATGACAAGTTTAAATAATTACAGTAATCAAAAGGCCAGCTTCTTTTTAATTTGAATACTTCATTACGCATTTGTATAGTTGTCATCCCCGCATAAGATTTTGATATTCTTCCTTCATACATTTTTTATGTTATTTGTACTTACACATCACTTTTCTCTGAGTACTCCCTCAAAAACAATGATTCTATCGCCATCCACTTCATTGGCAAAACACCACTGTTCGTCTTCACATATAATTCACTCTTGTAAATATCTCGAGCAAGACCAAAGTCAGCGATCTTCATGACGTAGTCTTTTCCAACAAGGACGTTTCTGGCCGCCAAGTCTCGGTGAACACACTAGACAAAACAGATATGTTTTGAACAAAGAAAAACAAAAACAAGAAATCAGAAACAAGAAAGAGCATACATGTCTGTATATGTTATGAAAAGACAAAATGCAAATTGCCCCGAGAACATCACGTGGTGTGAAATGGAAAAATAAAATATAAGCTAAAAAGGTCTATTATAACCAAGAGCCACCTTGGCTATAGCTCTTGTTAGAACTGAATTTTCTTGAGCAATGTGGGAATCCTTAAATGGGGAAAAATTACCTTTTTAGACGCCAGGTATTCCATTCCACGGGGTATCTGGTAGGCGTAGCCCACAAGATTTGATATATTCAATCGTATCTCTGGGTCACTCGCAGTCGTAGTCCAGGTTCCTTCATAAACATCTCGCTTGCCTTGTAAGAACTTTTGTAAACTCCCATGTGGTGCATATTCCAGAATGACAAGGATACGATCTCGCTTGATACAAGCACCAAGGAGGTTTACAATGTTTTTATGTTCTCCAATGTAAATTAGAATTTTCAGCTCTGATGCCAGGTCTCTTACTTCCTCCGCAGTAGCTCCCCCTGAAGTGCCAAAATAGCGTACTCGGTCAGTAAAAAAAAGTACAGTTTCCACTGGGTCTAGTGGAGTCCATGTGACCATGTCACAAGCAGCGTTCAGTTTAACTAGGCACAAACCTCAGCAACAGGAATGAGCACGAACGGTACTCATGCATGAGAGAGGCCCCTCGCGAATTGCCCACCTCACCCATGCTGAATACAGGGGCATGGCTGCAGTTTTTTCCACTGGTAGGCACAGATTCCTAAATCAACCCTACCCCGTCTCCCAAATCATTACCGCGCTGGTAACCTGGTAACTCGTCCCGTACCCTACATATTATCAGCTTCTATTATAAACCAAATTCCCTTTTCCCCTCCACCAACCCCCGACAAGTACCAGCCATCCTTGTTCCATGGTAAATGTTACACAAGTTGAAATAGAGATCTCTTGACTTGAAACATTACCTCTAACAGTCTTTACAGCTACAGTGGTCTTCGTGTACGCACTGCCTCTGGGATCGTGGTACGCATGGCCGGCCCTGCGTTGACAAAACATTTTAGGTCGCCGCTGACTTTTCTTTTGACTTTTGTCTCTGGGACTAAAGTTGTTCATTCCTATAGCCTCTGCTTTAATGACCTTTCCAAAGGCCCCTGATCCTAGCACCTCCCCAAGAATGAGCTTGTCCTCAGGAAACTCGAAATCAGGGTCATAAGGAAGATCATTACATTGTTCAAGCAGTGTGCGAGTAGGGTCAATCTAAAACAATCAAGAAATATTTCATTACTTAACGTATACCATTCAATAGGAAACTAAGCAATGGTAACTTCATTCCCTCCACTTCAACTGGAAACGTTTTGGTTCATGAGTATTACCTGAATTGAGAAGCCCACTTTAGGGCAATGGATCACTTTTTGAATCGAGTCAAAGGAGAAACAAAGTTTATGTTTGAAAAGTAGGCTTAATTAAATCTATGGCCACTCCGCAAAGAAACTCGGCACCTCGTTCACGGTAGGTCGACAAAAAAAAAAATCGTGAGTATTTTTGCGGAACAGACTTGTCCATAGCCTGCAATGAAATGAACAAAATATCAGCCATCTTCACCTATGTGTGAGCATACATGTATTTTAAAAGGAGGAGCAATCTATGCTTAAAATTTTGCAAATTATCACTGTCGACTGGCCTCGAACAAGCAACTCAGATGTTGATGAATCAATGTATAATAATTCTCAAAAGTGTCCACCGCCATGAGATTTTACACGAATGTAAAGTGGCCATAGTTAGAGCCACCCTGCACTTCCAAAAGGTTACTAAAGAGCAAAAGCAAAAGAGAGTCGACAACGGTAAAGAGAAGGTAAAAACAGCTGCGGGACTGAACCAAAAACTACAACTCTGCCCGGTCGATCAGACTTAATTGCACGACTACGACGTCAAAAATTAGTCCCAATGCGCGTTTTACGAAGGACGTTAACCGGCACTGACGATAAATTTTTTATTCCCCCTTTAAACTTGGCTCTCCATAGAAATTCAACTACTCCAGGCCAAGTAAAGTCACCTACATTTCACATATCAAAGAAGATGAAGTTTGAAAGATCGTGAAAAGATCGTGAAAGATAGTGTTAATACAACCGGTTGAACAAAGGTTGAGAGACTTTTGCATATAAAACCCCTTTCCTAATTTGATCGCTCCCCGGAGACAAAATTTTCACGAGTAAAGGAAATCCCCCTGCTTCGTTTTTCCGCGTTCAAAGTTGTCATTGTAGGTGTTGAATATGATCTTGGAATGGGAGGGGTGTGAAATTTACGCAGCCCAACGAACATTATTTTCAGCCAAATAAGTCTCCCCAATTAGTAAGGCACTGTGCCTGAACTATAAGACATGAGACTTAAATAAAGTTAATCATCATCATAGTCATAAGTTGCAGCTTTTCAAGCAGGCACTGGTTGTTATGTAGTAGCTTCAATTTAAGCTGGTTTTACATGGTATTTTACCTGGTGTTTTCCAGTGTATACTGGAAAAAGCTGATTACGATACTCCATAATCTGCTTCCGCTGATGGCGTATATAGCAAAAGAAGGTGAACCCCAAGACGATGCAGAGGAACAGGATAGCTCCAACAACAGAAAGGGCGACAGTGGCTTCCTTACTAAGAACTTCTATTGGAGATAGATTTGGGTTGGAGCTGGTTGACACTAGAAAATATTCAAAGAGAATATCGCTTATTGCTTCAGTTAAATTACATTATTATTCATTCAAAATATTTCCCCAATTCTTATTAGCTAAAAGCACAAGCATAATTCGCCATAACCAATTACTGATGACCAAATCTGGAAGAATTTTGTATTTAACGAGGAAATGACGTCAAAAATGCAGCCCGCTACAGGTTAAGGCACCGTTACCGAGAAGGTTGACTTGTTATGGTTGTGAAAAAAAAAATGGCCGGCATTTCACTCGTTTCAAGGGTAAGAACTGCAGCTGGACCTCGGCGAAATGATAGCAAAAAACACGGCAAAAACAGCAAGAAGACAACTCGGAGGGCGACATCTGCTATTTGGAGAATATTTGCGGAGCTCGGACAAACCTAAACGTACCGGCTATCAAAGATGAACTTAACATTGATGCGGGTAAGCATGTGCGTGTTTTAGCTATGTTTTAAAACTAGGAATTATTTTGAATGAATAACAAAGCAATTAATGAATTCAGCTTCCGTAGGATATGAAGAATTAAGCAGATCTCGGAGGGTGTTATCCACTCGATAACACCCTCCTCGATCTGCTTAATTCTTCATATCCTACTCAGCCTCATTCACTAATTGCTAAATAATCTGGTCGAGGCGTGTTTGCAATTGCTTGTACTCTCATGGGATCAGGCTTTAGTCCTTCTAACGTGAACAACTGTCCCACGTAAGTTACTTAGTCCAAATTCAACCTCAACTTGTTCTTGTTAAATTTCAGAATAACACTGCGTGCGCACTTAAGCAAGTTCTCTAAAACTGTGAAAGGTTTGAACCCAGGAGTCATGTCAAAAGTAGGTTGAGCTTGATCGTCCTGGTGAACGTAGTCCTGAATAGGACTGTTGTTGTTGACAGTGACTGACGTTTCGACAACCTGTGCGGTAGTCATCTTCAGAGTCAAAGTGAGTTGTATCACTTCAGTTGATGGTATTATACTCTGGTTATTGATCTGATTGGTCAATTACGTCGTTGATCCGAGCGCGGATAAACAACTGTCACAGAAGACTCAACTACTACAATAACAAAATACAACAACGACTTGACAAACTTACACAACTTTTACCGACTACCTTACTTAGTACTATACAGACTATTGCAGACAAACGCGCTGACAAGACAGCTGAACAGCACCACGCGAAAGCGAAACAAAAACTGACGCGACTGCAAGACACAAAAAACGCTAAACGACGTAAACCCGACGCAAACTGGGTAAGGAATATTTCTTCCCGTCCCTTAGACGAGACTGAAACGCCAGTACTTTCTTACGGACTTAAACACTCAGTGACACCTATTAAACAAACACCTACTGAAGCTATTGTATCTAGCATTGAGGCCGTTCTGTCTCGCCAACACGAGCTATCAGAATCGACCAAGGTTAACATCAGAAGTAGAGTGACCTCTACTTTACAATCAGCCTCATTACCGAACAGTAACTTGACTCCTGACGAAAAGAAAGCACTTAAACGACTGAAGACAGACGAGAACATAGTCATACTGCCCGCAGACAAGGGACGGGTGACTGTTGTAATGGACAAGACAGACTACAACTACAAAATGGACTCGCTTGTTAACGACAAACAGACCTAAGAAGTACTTAAACGAGATCCGACACCCGCACTGCAACGCAAACTTAACAACAAACTGCTTACACTGAAGAAAGCCGACAGGATCGACTTTCGCCGCTACAACAAACTGAGGTGTAGTGTTCCGCAGCCACCCAAGCTGTATGGACTACCAAAACTACACAAACCCAACATACCTATGCGGTCCATAGTTTCTTTCTGTGGGTCCCCGACCTACCAACTGTCTAAATACTTAACCAACGTACTGAAACCGCTGACTGACGAATCTAGACACAGGACAGTCTACTGAGAACTTTATTGACGCCATTAAGACAATACAGATACCAGACGACCACAAACTAGTGTCCTTTGACGTAAAATCACTGTTCACCAGTATTCCACTTCAACTGGCTCTAGAATGTACTGAGAACGCTATTAAGAACTCTACTGTTGAACTCTCAACCTCTGTTTGACTTCGACGTACTTTCAGTACAACGGCAAACACTACAAACAGTTACACGGTACAGCTATGGGCTCTCCAGTTTCTGTTGTTGTAGGAGAAATTGTCATGCAAAACATCGAGGAACAAGCCCTAGCTAACTACACGCGAACTATACCTCTTGCCTCTCTGGTTACGTTACATTGACGACACATTCACCACCGTACACGAAGAGGGAATCGCCGATTTTCACGAACACCTTAACAGACAGAACGCGGACATACAGTTCACCAAGGAGATCGAAGAAAATGGTAAGATACCTTTTCTAGACTACTTGGTCACTCGACGCACAACAACAAATTAAAAACGACTATTTACAGAAAACCGACACATAACGACCGATTACTAGACCAGTCTTCGTACAATCCGACCTCTCACAAGGCTACTACTATCCGGACTCTGACGAGACGAGCGCAACTAATAGTTTGCGACTCACCTGACAGCCTACAAGACGAGACTGATTATCTTACCAACGTTTTTAGTAAGAACAATTACAACACGGACTTTGTTAGACGGAACACTCACAGTAACACGGATTCCAACACTCAGACCAACTCTGGCCCTGGTACAACGGCGACTATACCGTACATCAGAGGCACCTCTGAAACTATTGCACGTATATTACAACCTTACAATATACGTGTTGCACACAAACCGATAACCACTTTACGGCGACTGCTTACTAATTTCAAGGACAAAGACAAACCGGAGGACAGACAGGGGGCAGTATACAAGATCAAATGTTGCGACTGCCAGGCTTCTTACATTGGTGAAACCGGCACAAAACCTAAGCACGAGACTGACCGAACACAAACGAGCGACGAGGAATGGTGACGTCAACAATCACATTGCTGAGCACCATTATTACAGACGAAACATCAAATTGACTGGGACTCTGCGACATGCATAACGTATTCTACAGACTACTATCAACGTCTTACTTTAGAACGCTGCTTTACTAACTTAGAACAAACTCCACTGAATCGTAGCCAACAGTTACCAGCGCCGTACAAACGACTTATTGACGAGATCAAGCAAAACTAACTACGAGAGAACGACTGGAGAACTCACAATTTGACTAACAATAGATGACTGTTTAACTTTGACAATAGACGGATCGAAACGCACCAATTACTGATTACGAGTCTTCATAGCTAATAAGATCACGGCTTTACTGACAGACGACCAATTACATCGCGACGTAATTGACCAATCAGATCAATAACCAGAGTATAATACCATCAACTAACGTGATACAAGTCACTTTGACTCTGAAGATGACCACCGCACAGGTTGTCGAAACGTCATTCACTGTCAACAACAACAGTCCTATTCAGGACTACGTTCACCCGGACGATCAAAGTCAACCTACTTTTTGCAAGTTCTCTAAATTGCGATCGTGATCTGCTAAAGCTTCTCGCATAGATTCTCTGCTGCCATAACATAAGATGTCATCTGCAATTACTTCTACTCCATCGAGGCAATGGAGGAGATTTATAAGAAATGGGAGGCTGCAGAGGAGGAGCAGGTTACTGGATCGGAGAACAAAAAGAGAAAGGTTGAGATGGACAAAGCTAGTGCCGAAGAAGTAAGACTTAAAGCGACTGAAAAATTGAGCGCAACGCACAAGGGAAACAACAGCGAAGAAAACCTTGTCAATCCCAAGAAAGAACAAAGAAGAGGCGGGAAACTGTACAATTCCTCCGTGAAAAATCTGAAAGGGATTATCAAATTCGCTAAGAAGAGTTACGCATGAGACAGAAAGAACATGATGATGCGAATCATGCAGCAACAAAATAATTCTACGATGCCTCTTATGTCTAAATTGGTAACAAATAAACAATCTGTTTATTTTCATGAACTGAGGATTTCTAATGCCCTCTTTAATGTTGTTTTTGTCACTTACAATTTATTTGCCCCTTACTTAAATTTACATTAGGTGGTTCCGTCAAACAATACGTGTGTTTTCTTGACCTGAGATTTTTTCATGTCTTATCCTATCCTGTAAACTTGTTTTTGTTATTTACACTTGAGTTACGCTTTATTTAACTTTACATGCAGATGTATAGTTCTGGTTGTTCAGACACGAATTTTCAGAGATATGATTTTTTGAAATTTTTAGAGTAGAAATGTTTCTGAAAACATTCAGATAAAGTACTCTTATAATTTTGGAGACTCCAGATAAAAAAACTTTGATGTAGTGTTGCCATAAAGACATGTCAGTGCATTTCTTAGTATGGCGCAAAAAAGATACATTTTCCACAATACTGAGGCCACTTTTGAGGTTTTTCTTGTAATCTATAAACTTAAATGGTTTGCTTTGTCTCCGAAAAGCCACTCCACAGCAATTCTAACGTGACTCATTGAGGTGTTGAATGCTTGCATCGCTGGTGTCAAAACAGCATTTTTGTACGGCCCTTGAAGTTACACCCTTGAACGATATGCCAGATCCCCAAGACTCACGTGGGTCGCCCCAAGGGTGATGTAGTGTGTAGGTCCTATTTATTTTACTGAGAATACGTTAGAAATTGTACAAAATTTCATACATGAAGGTGTGGCAGCGGTCCCCTCTGCCACGCCCTAAATCCACCCCAAGCAGATTACTGAATATAAGTGCAAACATTCATCGGTATAGACAGGCAGGATTTCATTAACATACTCACCTACAGGTCCATACATATTGGCAATCAGGCCATTTGGCGGCGCAAGAGGCTGAAACTTCAGTGCATGCACACGTTTGTGCCCGTCATAGACGCTGCTTTGATTTTCTCCTGGTCAGCTGATTGGCCTAACAGTGCCATCGATAAACCCAAAACAATTATCAAGGGCACCTCCCTTTATCTGGACGGCATTTGCATATTTTTCTAGTTTTACTGGCTGTAAGATAGCGGGATTCCACTGCAAGATTCGGTGGCTGTGGTTGGTATAAATGAAATCCAGCACTTCATTCGTTATCATGCTCAGAACCGGCACGGGTCTTCCAAAGCGCGCCATCATGTACGAATATCGACATGGGTATACAAGTCTTCAAAAAGGCATGCACAGTCCTTCCATGCTATCGATGATTGAACGTTGTCGGCACGTGAATACCCCAGAAATCTGGACGGCCTCGGCTAGATCAGGTAGGCTATGTTTGTTGACTCTGAACTTAGCAACACACTCTGAATCGTTCATCTCATCCAAGTCAAACCTCTTGAATTCGTCATACGGCAAGTTAAGGTTTTTGGAACTGTTTAGGTCATAAGGAATTAGATATTCGTCTTCTGAAATCACGTTGTCGAACAAAGCAGTTGTTAACAAGACGCTACGGAGCGTACACTTCGGCGTCGTTGTTGTGG